TGTTACCCTTGTTACCCCTTGTTACCCTTGTTACCCTTGTTACCCTTGTTACCCTTGTTACCCCTTGTTACCCTTGTTACCCCTTGTTACCCTTGTTACCCTTGTTACCCTTGTTACCCCTTGTTACCCTTGTTACCCTTGTTACCCTTGTTACCCTTGTTACCCTTGTTGTTACTTTTTGTTACCCTTGTTACCCTTGTTACCCCTTTGTTACCCTTGTTACCCCTTGTTACCCCTTGTTACCCTTGTTACCCCTTGTTACCCTTGTTACCCTTGTTACCCTTGTTACCCTTGTTACCCTTGTTACCCTTGTTACCCCTTGTTACCCTTGTTACCCTTGTTACCCTTGTTACCCCTTGTTACCCCTTGTTACCCTTGTTACCCTTTGTTACCCCTTGTTACCCTTGTTACCCCTTGTTACCCTTGTTACCCCTTGTTACTTGTTACCCTTTGTTACCCTTGTTACCCTTGTTACCCTTGTTACCCTTGTTACCCTTGTTACCCCTTGTTACCCTTTGTTACCCTTGTTACCCTTGTTACCCTTGTTACCCTTGTTACCCTTGTTACCCTTGTTACCCTTGTTACCCTTGTTACCCTTGTTACCCCTTGTTACCCCTTGTTACCCCTTGTTACCCTTGTTACCCTTGTTACCCTTGTTACCCTTGTTTTGTTACCCTTGTTACCCTTGTTACCCCTTGTTACCCTTTTTACCCCTTGTTACCCTTGTTACCCTTGTTACCCCTTGTTACCCTTGTTACCCTTGTTACCCCTTGTTACCCTTGTTTGTTACCCTTGTTACCCTTGTTACCCCTTTGTTACCCTTGTTACCCCTTGTTACCCCTTGTTACCCCTTGTTACCCTTGTTACCCTTGTTACCCCTTGTTACCCCTTGTTACCCTTGTTACCCTTGTTACCCTTGTTACCCCTTGTTACCCTTGTTACCCCTTGTTACCCCTTGTTACCCTTGTTACCCATGTTACCCCTTGTTACCCCTTGTTACCCTTGTTACCCCTTGTTACCCTTGTTACCCCTTGTTACCCTTGTTACCCCTTGTTACCCTTGTTACCCTTGTTACCCCTTGTTACCCCTTGTTACCCCTTGTTACCCTTGTTACCCTTTGTTACCCTTGTTACCCTTGTTACCCCTTGTTACCCCTTGTTACCCCTTGTTACCCTTTGTTACCCTTGTTACCCTTGTTACCCTTGTTACCCCTTGTTACCCTTGTTACCCCTTGTTACCCTTTGTTACCCTTGTTACCCTTGTTACCCTTGTTACCCCTTGTTACCCTTGTTACCCTTTGTTACCCTTGTTACCCTTGTTACCCTTGTTACCCTTGTTACCCTTGTTACCCTTGTTACCCCTTGTTACCCTTGTTACCCTTGTTACCCTTGTTTTGTTACCCCTTGTTACCCTTGTTACCCCTTGTTACCCCTTGTTACCCCTTGTTACCCCTTGTTACCCTTGTTACCCCTTGTTACCCTTGTTACCTTTGTTACCCCTTGTTACCCCTTGTTACCCTTGTTACCCCTTGTTACCCTTTGTTACCCTTGTTACCCCTTACCCTTTACCCCTTGTTGCCCCTTGTTACCCTTGTTACCCTTGTTCCCCTTGTTACCCCTTGTTACCCTTTTTACCCCTTGTTACCTTTTGTTACTCTTGTTACCCCTTGTTACCCCTTGTTACCCTTGTTACCCTTTTTACCCTTGTTACCCCTTGTTACCCTTGTTACCGTTGTTGCCCCTTGTTACCTTTTTTTACCCTTTGTTACCCTTGTTACCCCTTGTTACCCCTTGTTACCCTTGTTACCCTTGTTACCCTTGTTACCCTTGTTACCCCTTGTTACCCCTTGTTACCCTTGTTACCCCTTGTTACCCTTGTTACCCCTTGTTACCCTTGTTACCCTTGTTACCCCTTGTTACCCTTGTTACCCCTTGTTACCCTTGTTACCCCTTGTTACCCTTGTTATTACCCCTTGTTACCCTTGTTACCCTTGTTACCCTTGTTACCCCTTGTTACCCCTTGTTACCCCTTGTTACCCTTGTTACCCTTGTTACCCCTTGTTACCCTTGTTACCCTTGTTACCCCTTGTTACCCTTGTTTCCCCTTGTTACCCCTTGTTACCCTTTGTTACCCCTTGTTACCCTTGTTACCCCTTGTTACCCCTTGTTACCCTTGTTACCCTTGTTACCCCTTGTTACCCTTGTTACCCCTTGTTACCCTTGTTACCCTTTTACCCTTGTTACCCTTGTTACCCTTGTTACCCCTTGTTACCCTTTTGTTACCTTTTGTTACCCTTGTTACCCCTTTTTACCTTTTTTTTACCCTTGCTACTCCTTGTTACGCTTGTTACCCCTTGTTATTCTTGTTACCCTTGCTACCCCTTGTTACCCTTGTTACCCTTGTTACCCCTTGTTACCCTTGTTACCCCTTGTTACCCTTTTTACCCTTGTTACCTTTTTACCCTTGTTACCCTTGTTTACTTTGTACCCTTTTGTTACCCTTGTTACCCCTTGTTACCCTTGTTACCCTTGTTACCCTTGTTACCCCTTGTTACCCTTGTTACCCTTTGTTACCCTTGTTACCCTTGTTACCCTTGTTACCCTTGTTACCCTTTGTTACCCTTGTTACCCCTTGTTACCCCTTGTTACCCCTTGTTACCCTTGTTACCCCTTGTTACCCTTGTTACCCTTGTTACCCCTTGTTACCTTTGTTACCCCTTGTTACCCCTTGTTACCCCTTGTTACCCTTGTTACCCCTTGTTACCCTTGTTACCCTTGTTACCCCTTGTTACCCTTGTTACCCTTGTTACCCCTTGTTACCCTTGTTACCCCTTGTTACCCTTGTTACCCTTTTTACCCCTTGTTACCCTTGTTACCCTTGTTACCCTTGTTTCCCCTTGTTACCCCTTGTTACCCTTGTTACCCCTTGTTACCCTTGTTACCCCTTGTTACCCCTTGTTACCCTTGTTACCCTTGTTACCCTTGTTACCCTTGTTACCCTTGTTACCCTTGTTACCCCTTGTTACCCCTTGTTACCCTTGTTACCCTTGTTACCCCTTGTTACCCTTGTTACACCCTTGTTACCCCTTGTTACCCTTGTTACCCCTTGTTACCCCTTGTTACCCCTTGTTACCCTTGTTACCCTTGGTACCCTTTGTTACCCTTGTTTCCCCTTGTTACCCCTTTTTACCCTTGTTATCCTTTGTTACTCTTTTTATCCCGTGTTACTCCTTGTTACCCTTGTTACCCATTTTTCCCCTTGTTCTTTATTGTTCCTCCTTGTTCCATCTTGTTCCCCTTGTTACCCCTTCTTACCCTTTGTTCCCGCTTGTTACCCCTTGTTACCCCTCTTACCCCTTGTTACCCTTTGTTACTCTTGTTACCCCTTGTTACCCTTGTTACCCCTTGTTTCCCCTTGTTACCCCTTGTTACCCTTGTTACCCCTTGTTACCCTTGTTACCCCTTGTTACCCTTGTTACCCTTGTTACCCCTTGTTACCCTTGTTACCCCTTGTTACCCCTTGTTACCCTTGTTACCCCTTGTTATCCTTGTTACCCCTTGTTACCCCTTGTTACCTCTTGTTACCCCTTGTTACCCTTGTTACCCCTTGTTACCCCTTGTTACCCCTTGTTACCCTTGTTACCTCTTGTTACTCCTTGTTGCCCTTGTTACCTCTTGTTACCCCTTGTTACCCTTGTCACCCCTTGTTACCCTTGGTACCCTTTGTTACCCTTGTTTCCCCTTGTTACCCCTTATTGTTCCTCCTTGTTCCATCTTGTTCCCCTTGTTACCCCTTCTTACTCTTTGTTCCCGCTTGTTACCCGTGGGTACCTAATCCGCTGGGTGTCTCTGTCCTGTTAAATTACTTTTATTACAATTACTAAACATATCAAATTAAGTTATTAACAAATTATGCAGTAGAAGCAGGATTAACAGAATCAAGTTACAGTAAAACGGACTAATCGCTCTGTACTCTGTTTCTTTAAAAGTTCCTTGAAAGTCTTGAAAAGGTTCTGTAATCTTTACTGTTTCTAATAGTTTCTAGTAGATTAATAAATAGCTGCGACGCATTATCTTGGAAAGTGCCGTTTTCGGTCGAGACCACTAATCTAATTGAATTGATTGACCGCAGTTCCTTGGGACATTCCTGTTTTATTATTTTAAGATAATCTGGCCAAGTCTCAGTGTTCTGCAAAGCTTTAAAGCATGATTTCAGGAGGTTCAAATCTCTTCTCTCATTGATTGGAAGCCATCCGATTTTAAGTACATCCCGAAAGTTCTTAACATAGTGACCGAGTACAAAACTTGCGGCAGCAAATGGAACCGGTTGCAAACGGCGAAGTACGAACTATGGTGGAGGGTATAAAACCAGATCGGCATAATCTAGTTTAGTTTTCTACAAATACGCATGTTCTGATCTTTGCGTCCTACGGGACGCATGCCATGAATTATTAGAGAAGTTAAGCATCACGTTTACGTCAAACGGCAAACGCCATTTTGTGTGCCACGTTACCAAGTCTTCTCTTTACTTGTCTTTTACTGTTCCTTATTTCTCAGTTGCAGATCCAGGGGAGGGGAAGGGGGCCTGGCCCCCCTTCCCCTTATTTTTAGACCAAAATGAGGCCCAAAGGGCGAAGAACATTGTTTTGAGACCAGCCCCTCCCCCCTCCCCCTTTTTATCTCAGAGTCTGGATGACCGGGCCCGCCCTTTTCTGGAGGTCTGGATCTGCCACTGTTTCTACACCTAAATTAGAAGGTTCGGGCAATTTTTTTATCCATAAGAATTGTCTTCAGCTGTATTTATCTGCTCATTTTCTATTTTGGAGAAATTCTCACCTTGAATCTGACGTTTGCCGTTTGTCGTATACGTGAAGCTTAAACTCTCTATTTTGCGTCCTTGGGGACTTTTATGCGTCAGGGAGGCAGGGCACAGAGGTTAGAGAATATCTGCTTATTCTGTTTTTGTCTTAGGATTATGTCTTTTCGATCCTGACGGGTTATATGGATCCCCCAGGTGGTGTTGAGGTTAAAGATGACTTGTACTTCAACCCATACTTCCCCGGACAATCAATTGCAATGGCTCCAGCACTATATAATGAGATCATTGAATACGAGGATGGTAAGCAAAAATTGTTTTTACCATGCAAAGCTTCAACATAACTCTGCTATGTCAAATTTTGATATTTTCGAGAAACACAAATAATAAAAGACTTAGACATTAAAAAAAATGACTGAGCATCTTGACCTGTTTGCCACAGGCAGGACTTTTTATTTAGTAATTTAAAGGAGCTGTGTCACGAAATTCAGCCAAATTAGGAAATTACACAATGCCCGTTAAATTAAGAGAAACATAAAAATAACCACTTAAAACTTTAAAGGAAGGTTAAAATAACATAATAGAAACAACAGGTGCCACGGATGGGCAAAGCTGAAGATTGAAACGGATTGAAATTAGGGTTTTTGAAAACTGTTCAGCCTTACAGTTTTTCAAAGTTGATCCCTGCTGCTTGCAACTTCGAAAATAATGCTCAGGAGACACATTTGTTTGTCTCGGATCACTGATTTTGTCATTTACATGCAATTTCTTTGCTTACCTTAAGTTCCATAGCGATACGCTCTTCTCACGTATGGTAATATGCCCGTCTAACCTCGTTTTTGAGTAAAAAGTCCTTTGAAATGATAATCAGACGACGTTTTCGTATTTGAATTTCAAAAGAATTTTTACCCGTAAACGAGGTTAGACGGGCATATTACCATAAGTGAGAAGAGCGTATTGAGGGCGAGTAATTGGCAAAATTAAACAAAATGAACTGGACTGCCATGACACAGCCCCTTTAACCTACGAAAAAGTAATTTTTCAGAAATTTTTCTTTCAACTCACAGATCACTATGATTAGTGTAAAAAGAAGTTGGTTTTATAATCATTATCGTCACCGTTATCGTAATCATCGTTGTCGTCGTTATTATAATTATTATCATCATCATCGGTATCATACACTGTTATCATATAATTTACTCCAGACAAGTAGATAACTTATAGAAAATGGAAATATGCGATGAGGTCGGTTGATTAAGCTACGAGAGAAAACGAACGGAAAGAAAACAAGGCCATCCACTCTGACTACTGGCAAACTATCTGGAAGTAAGAAATGTTGTTTGTTGTTTGTGAATATTCCAGGAACTCCTGCAACAGTCACTCAGTTGGCCAAAGATGTTTGCACATTCCTGAAGTGGGCTGCAGGTAAGAGATTCTTTCTTTTTTCCCATTTCAGGGAAGTTAAGGGCGTTTGCCATTTACCAAAAAACTTCGGAAACTTCGATGGAAAGTGCCATCGGGTGAAGAACGTGTGCAATTTTACATTCGTTTCTCTCTCTCTCTTTTCAAAATTCAAGATGGCAGGACAGATATTGCCCTGAATTGCCTGGATCTGGCGAATCCTTCTGAAAAATTGAAAGTGGAACTCGTATTTCCACTTGAAAAATTTCCAACCGGAGAACTAGACAAAGAACCAGACAAAGAACGGGAGAACCGGACAAAAATCCGACATGAAATTGGACAAAAAAATCAGCCAAGAAATTAAACAAAGAATTGGGCAAATAATCAGACAAGAAATCGGGAAAAAACTCGGACAAGAAATCGCACAAAAAAGCCGACAGAAATACAGCCAAAGAAGAACCGGACGAAAAAAAAATGGACCAAAAGCGGGCAAAAAAGAGGGTTGTCCAATACACCCTTATTTTCTTGAACGCACAATGAATTAACTCCGCGCTTGACCTCTGATATTTTTCGGAAAAATGTTATCTTTCCTAAATCTGACCAATATTCTTTCATAGAACCTGACCATGATGATCGCAAGAGAATGGGGATGAAGGTAAATATTGTTTACTAATTTTTTACATTCTAAAGGTGATGTTAGGCGAGACGATTTTCAGCGCAACACAGCGTAGCAATGTTGCAACCATTCGAAACAATGTCGCAACAACATTGTAATGCTCCTTTGCGCTAGAAGTCGTCGTCGCAAATCGTCCCGTGAAGCATCACCTTAACACGGTCGAGCGCCGAGGAAAGACTTTTTAACTAGCGTAGGCGTTTCCTCGATTCATTTCTTTTGAAACGTTCATTGAACTTATGTAGCAAACCAAAATCAGTTTGAGAGTCAAGCAGGCCATTAAAAAAGACTCCAGTTCTTTCAATAATAGAAGTGGCTGTGACTGAAATTATTCGTAACTGTACGTCAAAAGTGTGCCACTCGCACCCGCGTTAAGCCCGCGCTCTTGGAAAGGCCCTGCACAAGACCTACAATCAAACAGGAGCAGTGAAGGCAGTAAAGTACCCAGTGCTGGGGCTACAATTAATTTTTCCTCTCAGAAACGGGATCTGTTCGACAAGGCATTAGTTCAGTCGAACTAACAAAACATTTTGTGGGGGAATTTTCCCACCCAAGAAACTATAAAGAGAATGGGTAAGAGCTATCGGCGCAACGATTTCTGGACTTGTTTGGGTAGACAAGCGTTGTTTATGATTGGTTAATAGTTGCCTTGACCATCGACCAATCATAACTGACGCTTGTCCAACCAAACGATCCCACAAATCATTGCGCCGAAAGCTTGTACCCATTCCCCTTATTATATAGTTTCTGGAGTGTGGTGTTACAGTGATATGGGCATCCCCGCGTTTTGGGCATCCCCATTCCTAAAACCATAGTGATATAGGCGTCCACTTCCTTTTGGGTTAGAATTAGGGTTAGGGTTACAGGGGATGCCCATATCACTAGGGTTTTGGGAATGGGGATGCCCATATCTTCGTAACAGCGGACATGACTTGACACTTTGCTTTAGCTTCAGAACGGAAGTCCTGGCTTCACCATGTCCGATTGCGTGTAGGACTTCATCGGGCAGGGGGCGATTGTCCGATAAACGTCAGTAATTTACAGCTCTGCTGAAGTTTAAATTTACACCGTTCTTAAACTTGTCTACTTCAGACAAAAATACTGAACTCGAAATGTTTTATTTCCAGGCCCTGACCCTGTTGGCTTTGCTCGCGGCGGCCTCGTACTACTACAAACGTCATAGGTGGTCGGTACTCAAGAGTCGGAAAATCGTATATCGCCCTTCACCGCACTCTTAAGAGTTGTATAAACAATTTTTTTAACTGTCTCCTCGGCGAAGATCGTACACGGAACGCGGATACACTAATCGAAAGCAACAAATTTGAATTCCCCGTTTCATTTAAGGGTGAAGGCATGTTAGATTACGCTTTTTCAGACGGCTGATGTAGATCTATACTATTTTATTTGTGCAAAAGAGTTTGTTGTAAAGAAATCTGTTGAGCAGACCATCTTTAAATTCATGGCGATTTTTCATGTTTGTGAATGGAGTTGTGCAACGTTTTCCTCATTGTAAAGCCGTTGCTAAACTCTGGTTGGGCAGGCTGTCATGTACTTGAAAGTGAATTTATCATTTCCTTGTAATTTGTTTTGAAAGTGAATAAATGCCATCGGCTATTTTTTAGTCGAGACAAAAAGTTGTTTTTGCCTCTATTATCGATTAGAGTTTATGGAGAGATTTGGAATCGGGTTAACACTAAACGGTTAACGCCAATTTGTATCACGTGACCAAGTTTTACCTTTACTTGTCTTTTTTATCTATAAAAATTGTTTTAGACACTTCTCAATTGCTCTTCTCCAACTTTGAGAAAATGTCAACTTCAACCTGGCGTTTCCCCGGTAGCCGAAATGTGTCGCTTATACCGAACAGTTTGCGTCTTACATCAGACGCGTCCTACGTAAGACGCAAACTGTCCCGTATAAACCGCGGTACAATTCGTCTGAAATAAGACGCGTCCTAGCTAAGTCCTAAGTCTTATTTCATACAAAATGTGCCGTTTATTAGGACAGTTTTCGTCTCATTTAGGACACGTCTCATGTAAGACGCGTCTCATTTTGCCTCGTATAAATGGCCCTATTGTGCTTAGCAGTTCTTTCCACATTCTTTTCAGATTTCACCCTTTGTACCAAATTTTTAAGTAAGAATGGTCACTTGTAAAATCTTTAATATATTTGGTGATGGAAGTTGTGTTCAATACATCCATGGTGCCCAGATCCCCCCATGCTTAGCTGGAAGAGAGTTGGGATCAGGATCTGGAAAGCGAGCGGGCACAGCAGTAGCGTTATACACTTCAATCCTTTCTAATAAATCCCGCACCACATCTGGATGCTGTTCAGAAACGTCTTTTCTTTCTTCCGGGTCGTCGGTGACGTTGAAAAGGAAAACACTGTTTGGACCCTGACAACCAGTGGAGGACTGGGTCGGTTTGTTCATTTCTGCCGCTGGAACCCAGTCTCCGATTCCCGGGCAGCCGATCAGTAATTTCCAGTCGCCCCTTCTAAGCGCGGCCTGGCGACAATGGCATCCGTTTGGACCGCCCAAAGTTGAATCGTGACAGTCAATATTATGCAGGATTTCGTTTCTTGAAGAAAGCGTTCCTTCACTAATACTGGTCCATTGATTAGCACCATCTAGTGCAAGACCTTCAATTGATGCTCCCGCCAAATGAGCAAGCGTCGGGAACCAGTCTGACACATGCATAAGCTCCCGGTGAATTCTCCGCGGGTTTTTAATTAGCTTGCTCTTCACAAAGCCCACTGTTCGTATGCCACCTTCCCACAGCGAAGTCTTCCAGCCACGCAGGGGCCAGTTATTCCCTCCAGCTAAGATCTGTCCCCCGTTATCACTGCTGAAAATCAACACAGTATTTTCCCATAAGCCGCGCCCTTTCAGCGCGCTCGTGACATTGCCAACTGCCTCGTCCAAGCAAGAAACCATGGCAGCATATAAGCGGCGCTTGCGATCTTTTATCTCAGCATACCTTTTCAAAAACCTATCTGGCACTTGCAGGGGCATGTGTGGTGCTTGAAATGATAAGAACAGAAACAGTGGATCTTTCGGGTCATGTTTTTTTATGATTCTCTCAGCCTCTTCAGCAAAAAGAAACGTGGTATATTCCCCGATGACATTTTTTTCGACCTCTTCATCTCGCCAAAAGTCATAGCCGTTAAGCTGCGTGTATCCGGGCTTGTGAAAGCCAAGTCTGTTGATGTGAGTGTAGTAATCTTGGCCACCTGTTAGGAACCCGTAAAAAGAATCAAATCCTCTTCGTGTAGGAAGAAATTCTTTCCGATAGAAGCCAAGATGCCACTTCCCAACTATGTGTGTCTTGTAACCGCTCTGTTTAAGTTTCGTAGCGATTGTGGTTTCGTTGCGCGGGAGACCGTTCGCCTGCGAAGGCCAGACGATGCCATGTTGAAGACCAGTGTGAATGTCGTATCTTCCTGTTAAAAGCTGAGCTCGCGTTGGAGTGCAAATGGGTTGAACGTAGTAATTTTCCAGTGTCACTCCCGGTACGGGCCAATTCATCCAACACTTCTGTTTTGAATTTGGAGTTGTGGTAACCGATGTCATTGAAGCCTAAATCGTCTGCCAAGATGAAGACGATATGTGGTTTCTTACTCTGACCCCTGATTGGTGGACAAAGGTTCATTAAAATAACGAGCAGAGTTTTGATGTCAAATTTGAATCTCGAATCAATCCGCGCAAACATCATCGTAAGTGAATGTAAGTCTGATTGAGAAACCCAAAGAAGCGAACTCCTTATTATTAAAATGTTTTTTTAAAAAAAAATAGTCATTCTTTTCTCTTCATGATAAATCACCCTGAATGTCTCACGAGGCAAAAGTTCTTTAGAATTCTTCAGATGCAAACAAAGCAAAGATGGCTAATTAACACAAATATAAAAGAAACATAATCTACACTTTGGAATAAAATGCCAAGCCAAGCGAGTATTTTCATTAAGGGTACTTTTACAGGTACTGAATTCTTAACACAATTGTTTTATTACAGGTTGCTGACTACTTACCCAAGGTTTAATATGTAACAGAGGTATTTCGAGTTCCCTCGCGCGCGGCGGAGTCGGCCGAAGGCTGAAGCCACGAGCGACGGATCACTTGAATTAAACAACCTAATGAAAAGTCAGTACTAGAACGTGGCATGACTTTTTTTTAATAATCTCTTCTTGTGGTCTGAATTTAAGTTTGACCATTTGGAAAAGGTTTTCAAGATTAAAAAAAACCAAGCTACTAGTGGAACCTAAATCGTCGTTGTCATTCACAGAGCTGAAGTTGTGAATAAACGAATGAATTAACGCCATCAAGGTTCACGGAAATCTTTACCCCGCATAGTTGCACGCGAATGTCAGCGACTCGAATGACTGTGCAAATGCTATAAACCATGTCGGAAAGAAATCTCTGCTGGTAGGGTAGGAAATCGTGTGCATTCCTTCTAAGGAGAGAGGATCCTGGTGAGAAGAGTCGGGTCTAGGGGAGGATCCCAGGGGGCTTTGAAACTAGGGGAGGATCCCGGAGGGGCACCGGGGCTACGGGAGGATCCCGGTGGGAGTGTCGGGCCCAGGGAAGGATCCTGGTTGGAACGTTGAGTCCAGGGGAGGATTCCAGTGGGAGCGCCAGGCGTAGGGGAGGATCCCAGTGGGAGCGCCAGGTGTAGGGGAGGATCCCGGTGGGAGCGTCGGTTCTAAGGAAGGATCCCGATGGGAGCACTGGGTCTAGGGGAGTGTCCTGGGAGGAACATCTTCATGAAATTAACACCATAAACGAGGACAGCAAGGCCGAGATACTTTACCTCGCTTCCGAGATAATTCGTTGCGGTTGGAGAGTAGCCACCTATCTACCCTTAAGATCCAGATTCCATACCAGGCCTCCCATTTTTTTAGGGAAAACCCCTGGGGACGAGGTTGGATTCCATACTGAGGACAGTGGTCGCGCATTTTGACGAAATGTAGACTGATAGCGCGCAACAGGCGTTTCGTAACAGGGAGAAATAAATAGGAATGAAAAGAGAAGGAAAAGGAAGGGAAAAATGAGACAGAAAATATCTAGAAATAGTGTTCGTATATTTGCACAAAATGCACGGTGAAATGTTCCCCTTGTGCCTTGATCATTGCCTCTATTATTTCTCGTCAATCCTACCAAGATATTTCATTTTTCTGTTACTGTGACAAGAAAACTTTTATTGATTAAATCTACATCGATCTGATCTCCGCGGAAAATAGGACCATAAGTAGGACTATACTGAATGGATATTTGACAAAACAGTTCTCTTCACATAAATGCTGTGACAGAATTATCACGTTAACGCGTACAAAAATTTGACCCTTGAGGATAAAAACAATCCGTTTATGACAAACTGTTTTAGTCTTTTTAGTTTTTCAAGACTTTATTTCTTAAACACACTTACTAGAACAAATTACATGTACAATCAATAAATATAGTCTGAATGATACAATAAAAGAATCATAAAAAGAGATCGAAACTAATGACAAGGAGTCTATCCCTTATCCATCTTCCTCAGGTCATATCCTTTAATGCTAGCACAATTCTTTCAAAAATATATAAAGCTAAACCTAGAAAAGAAAGGAAACGCATATAT